GCTGCTGCAGGTGTGGTCAGGACACTCAGGCTGCAGCTGCTGCAGGTATGGCAGGACACTCAGGATGCAGCTGCTGCAGGTGTGGCAGGACTCTCAGGCTGCTGCTGCTGCAGGTGTGGGCAGGACACTCAGGCTGCAGCTGCTGCAGGTGTGGTCAGGACACTCAGGCTGCAGCTGCTGCAGGTGTGGCAGGACACTCAGGCTGCAGCTGCTGCAGGTGTGGGCAGGACACTCAGGCTGCAGCTGCTGCAGGTGTGGCAGGACACTCAGGCTGCTGGAGGTGTGACAGGACACTCAGGCTGCAGCTGCTGCTTTATGGTGGCCACAGCTGCACTGCTGCCATCCAACCTCTTGTCCCCACAGGATAACAACATCGTGTACGCCTCCATTGCCCGCTCAAGCCCAGCCTCCCCAGGAACACCACCCTGCCAGCCCGTCCATGGGAACCCCCAGGAAGAGACTGTGTACTCCATCGTAAAGACCAAATGAGTGGGTCTGGGTGACGATCTCCGAGTCGCCTGTGTTTCTAGTGGGAAGACTCCCAGCTTCCACAGATACCCACAGCCAGAGACAACAACTCATGGATCATTGATACCCATGGCCAGAGACAGAAATCCACACATCAGGGCGTTTGAGCTCAGAGAAAATCAGAAATTCCCAGTTCCCTTTTCTAACTTCCTAAACCTTTCTCACAAAAATAAAACAATCCACAGAATTTGCCTAATGAATCTAATTAAGAGTCATTCATGTGACCCATAACTTCTGACCCTCTAAGATCCTCTGAAGGGTTCACAACATGCCCCCACGGTCGTATATACCAGGCAGACACTTCCGCCTAGCCAATTCCAAGTCAAGATAGCCATTTCCGGGTCAAGGCGTCTCGCGTGACCAGGATCCGTGACGTTACATGGCCACATAAGCGCGCAACGTGACCATGTGATCTACGCACATGTGTGGAGTAGTGACGTGACCTGGCCACGCCCCCAGCCGGTTTTTAAAGCAGAGCGCCATATTCCCGGCTCTCTCTCTTCTCTCCTCTCTTCTTCTCCACGCACGTGTCTCTCCCACAGGCCTGTGCACTCTGTACCTTTAACTCTAATAAACTCGTATAAGCGGATTCTGTCGTGTTTTGTGACACTTCCTTGCAGGGTAAGAACACAACGCAGCTAAATAATTAACATTTTGGTGCCGAAACCGAGCGGGCGCTTCCGGGTGCCCTGCACCTGGAAGCCCGCAAACCGGGGAATCTGCTCCGTACGCGACAGACCGCTCTCCATTCGCCTGAACTGCATCCAAATTGCATCCAACACCGCTTTCTTCGATTGGTGAGTCCCCCCATTTTTCGGCCAGTGTAAACGGTTTCCTGAATCTGTGAGAACGACCGTTGATCGTCCGGCGCCTCACACGTGTTCTTGAGACCGGGGAACCCCCGACCACGGTCTTCATTGGCTACGGTTGGCCCCTATCGCAGGCCTAACTTTTCTAGCCATCTCCCATGTCTGCAGCCTGAGATATTTCTCAAGTTAGGGCCACCACCGTTGGTGCGTCCTGGGAGCCACGTGAGCCCGGCATATCCATCTCCTTGACGAAGGGGCAAACATTGTCTGGATTCCCGGGGAATCCTTTCCTCACCGTGGAGGGGGCCCCTGCTTCTGTGGCTGACGAGTCAAGGAGCAGCCTGCGCCCGGTATCCGCCCTTGGCCTTTGGGACGCCTGGGGCCTTGGCTCCGGATCACGTTTATTTTTTATTATTATTTTTCTGCCTCCGCTGCAGACATGGGAAACAAGGCTTCCAACCCTGTTAGTCCTTCCTCTCCGTTAGGCTGTCTTGTTGAAGCTTTAAAACCTCTCAGTTTAATGCCTTACGTAAAGATTTCTAAGCTAACTCGTTTATGTTCAAAAAAGTGGCCAAAGTAT